TGGGAACTTGGGAGATTGGGAATTTGGGAGATTGGGAATTTGAGGGTTTGGGAATTTGGGAGATTGGGAATTTGGGAGATTGGGAATTTGGGAGATTGGGAATTTGGGAGATTGGGAATTTGGGAGATTGGGAATTTGGGAGATTGGGAATTTGGGAGATTGGGAATTTGGGAGATTGGGAATTTGGGAGATTGGGAATTTGGGAGATTGGGAATTTGGGAGATTGGGAATTTGGGAGATTGGGAATTGAACTTGGGAGATTGGGAATTTGAGAATTTGAGAATTTGGAAATTTGGGAATTTGGGAATTTGGGAATTTGGGAATTTGGGAATTTGGGAATTTGGGAATTTGGGAATTTGGGAATTTGGGAATTTGGGAAACTGGGAATTTGGGAATTCGGGAATTTAGAAATTTAGAAATTTAGGATTATGGAATTCCTTAAATCTCCAAATCTAAAAATCTCCCAATGACCTCGCACACCCACAGAGCGATTAAAATGTAAGCGATGACAATTACATATTTTCCTTCAGATTCTGAGACTGCACAAATCCCCCATGGAGATCGGTATATTATGGGGCAAAGAACAGGAGGGTGGAAAGACAGGCAGGGGTTGACATGCGGGCGAAATCCGTGACAGTGAATGAACCTAGTCGGGGGACTACATGGTGCGTTGATGACATAATTGGTATCATTCGGGATCTTCTTTTGAGGTAACCCATGGTGCAGCCCCTTTACGGTCACGGATCTACACGCCTCGTCCATCTGTACGCTCCTGTACACTTCTGATTTTCGAGAGATACGTCAGTATACGACATTCAATCGAAAAGCATGTTTTGGTTATCTATAATTTTATAATGCATATCAATTGTTGTGATTTTATTATGTCACTTGTGCTTAACATCAGTTATTATTAATAATATAAGTTAATATTCAAATCTTCGAATTCTACATTTCCAAATTCCTAAACCCCTAAATTCCCAAATTCCCAAATAATATAAGTTAATATTATTAATAACAATTAATTATTTATTAGAAAATTTTTTGTGACTCCTATGACATTTCTTGTATCATCGAGGATATACAATATAGTGTGCGAATTGTTCTTAATACAAAATCCGTATCTTCGAACCCACGAAATGTATTGCAAACAGTAGGAAATCAATATTAATAAATATATGACATATTAATCAATAAAATCAATATTAATTGAATGTTTATAAAAATTGAACTAGTGGCGCCATCTCTCCTGCGAACAGGGTGAACTACGCACTTTTGAGACACTACTTTCATTAGTTCCTATCTTCTACCGCCAGATGGCGATGCACAATATAGGAACTCTTAGGGTAATTAGGATTATCTTGAAAATGGTAAAAAATTTATAATAGTTTGATTCCTAAGTTAATTGGTCCTGTGTTCCAATGTAATTTGATGCATATTGAAGTTAATTATTCCAATAAAATCAGTGTTAATTGAAGTTTTTCGAAAATTGAACAAGTGGCGCCATCTCTCCGGCGAACAGGGTGAACTACACACTTTTGAAACACTACTTTAATTAGTTCCCATTTCTACCGCTAGGTGGCGTCTCGAGACGAACTGTGTCGCCGTCTAGGGGTAGAAAATGGTACTAATTAAAGTAGTGTTTCAAAAGTGTGTAGTTCACCCTGTTCGCCGGAGAGATGGCGCCACTTGTTCGATTTTTCTACAGGTTCAATTATTATTGATTTTATTGATTATTATGGTATATATTTATTAATATTGACTTTATACTGTTTAAAATATAGTCCGCGAGTACAAAAATGCAGATTATGTGTTCGAAACAGTTCGTACACTATATTATCGTCGGTAATATAGAGAATGACATAGAGGTGGCTACCACAGTGAACCACCCTTACAAGTATCTACCACTTTCCATTTGCAAGTACTTCATTTACGGGGAGGATAAATGAGTACTAAATCTAGTTACCTCGTTGACTCACAAAAATATATAAATTCTTTACTATAAGATAGCAAACTTGTATTACACACCCTTATAAGTTTTATAAAACTAACTTACAGACGCACCATTCAACTTGAAACTTACTTACTTCAAAAACTTATTTACTTTTCTGCACCTCTAACGTGAGGTGTATACCTCTAATTCTAAGATTGCACTCATATGATACATACAACGATGTAAAAAAGCAAAGGGTAAGGGAAGGGTGCATTTCTCTCTCTTCCATTGAAAGATAGGCCGACCACAGGGAAGATAGAGACGACACAGAGAATGACCACCGAGAGATGATACATCAATCAATCACCCTTGCAAGGGTGCTAGACCAATATTTTTAGCTCAAAACTGTTCTTGTGTTCATAGCATTATGCAACCCCTAATGGATCCACTTGGTTGCGGATCAATTAACAAAAAATAACTGGGTACAAACTAAATTCAAGTATTGTGAAGATGAGTGCAGGAGAGGTACTCAGAAAGAGAGGAGGTGCTTGCAGGGACCCACCCACCCTTCCATGAGCATACAGTCAACTTAAAACTAACGTACGCATCCTTCAAGCTTCGCATATCTTCAAGTTTCATATATACCACAATACTTGTACATATTGTATATTACAATATCTTGTACGCAACTTAAGATTAATTTAAAATTGACATTGTACATTACAATATTTTTTACGCAACTTAAGATTGACTTAAAATTAGCACATCCATCGGTGAAATTTCTCTGTGATAGTCCTCCATGATTACTTATGCTGTAACAATAAAAAACAATAGGCAAAAGCAGAAAACGTATGCAAAATTAGTAATATTATAATAAATGTCCAGGTAGGGGTCTACGATTCATACTTCTCTTGTGGGAAGATTACAGACTTACTTCGGTTCTTCTTCTTTCTTCAGGTCTTTCTTCTAACAGATCTGTTACAGACAAAGAACCACAAAAATTCAAGTATCTAGTTGCAAGGCTAACAGCAGTCCTGCTACTATCAGGAGTTATTATCATAACTCAGTTCAATTACTATCATAGCAACTATCATTAAAAATAAATTTGATACAAATAAATGTCGAACCACAAAAATTGAAGTACCTAGTTGCAAGGCTAATAGCAGTTCTGCTACTATCAGGAGTTACTATCATAGCTCAGTTCAATTACTATCATAGCAACTGTCATTGAAAACAAACTTGATACAAATAAATATCGAACTACAAAAATTCAAGTATCTAATTGCAAGCCTAACAGCAGTCCTGCTACTATCAGGAGTTACTATCATAGTTCAGTTCAGTTACTATCATAGCAACTATCATTAAAAATAAATTTGATGTAAACAAACGTCGAACCACAAAAATTCAAGTATCTAGTTGCAAGGCTAACAGCAGTCCTGCTACTATCAGAAGTTATTATCATATCTCAGTTCAGTTACTATCACCTGTCATTGAAAACAAACTTAATACAAACAAACATCAAATCACAAAAATTCGACTACCTAACATTAAACCTAGTACCAGTAACTATCATAGCGCACATGGTCCTTCAGTCTCGTGCCGAGCGAAGCAGAGCGAAGCAGAGCGAAGCGGAGCGCAAGTTCGGAAGCGCGTGCTGTGGGTGGGAGTTGCAGCCCCCGTGACTCAAGAGAGCGAAGAGTAACCGAAAGAACGGACTTCAACTCAGTCTGTCCGCGACCGTCCGTCAAGCATACGTCTACGACTCTTTGCCTCCTCTTATTTTATTCCCCGTCTGTTGTGCATCGTCAGTTTGTGTTTCTCTCGCGTAGTGTCTCTCGAGAGTCTCGTGCTAGCCACATGTCGTCCGTGCTCGCATCGCTACCGGCATCCTAAAACCACCCTTCGATTCTCAATTTCGATCGCGCGTGAACAGTGGACCGGGACGATCGCGTGTGAAAAATAATGGAAAGACGTGCGAATATGTGGATCATGAATTTTATACTGGGGTTTATCGGCTTGATATTCCTGGTTGAATATCAAGAGGCGTTCAATGTGGAGACGAAAAATTACGCGGTTTATAGGTCCGAGGACAGATCCATGTTCGGATTCGCGGTCTCGGTGTATAGGGACAGAGTTGGACGGGGATGGTGAGTTTTTTATTTTGAACTATTTTTGTCAAATTCATTGATCTTTTATTTTAAACATTTTTGGATCTGAAGTTCTGAAGTGAATTTCTAAGTTGGACCTCAAATTTTTAAAATTGATAAATGTCATTTGAGATCTTTAAATTTAAAAACTCTTAAATCCTTGAATACTCAGGACAAATCTGTGAATGTGCAAATCTTTAAATAACGAAATTTGTGAAACTACAAATTCATAAATTATTGTATTATCAGATCTCCAGATCCTCAATACTATAAATTACAGAAACACCTAAACTCTCAAATCCCTTTACTCTCTAATCTCCAAACTCTCTAATTTTCAAACTCACAAATTTTCAAACTCTCAAACCTCCAAACTCATAAATCTTCAAAATCTGTCAAATAACAAAACTCTCTAATTTTCAAACTCACAAATCTTCAAACTCTCAAACCTCCAAAATTATAAATCTACAAAATCTGTCAAATAACAAAACTCTCTAATTTTCAAACTCACAAATCTCCAAAGTCTCAGACCTCCAAACTCATAAATCTTCAAAATCTGTCAAATAACAAAATTTCCAAATTTAAAAATCTTCAATCTCCAACTTAAAATTATACCTCTGTGACTATGATTTTACTATGATTTCACCAACCATTCATAGATCTTGAATGACTCAGTACACTATTGATTACCAGGTGTACACATCGATTTTTTAAGAACACTGCAACTGGTGACATAATATTTCGAGGAAATAGTAGGTGTATCATGCTAGCATCGTCAATAAGAATTTTTTATTTTGTTTACTATCAAACTTTGATTAAAATTGTGGAATAGTTATAGACACACTGTATATTTAATTTTTGTCAATTTTGTTAAACATTTTTTGTTATAAATATAAACAAAGATTCATTTACAAGGTTTTATAAAGAATTGGTCAGATATAACAAATATATGATATAATAGCAAATTTAGTTTTCTTAAAGTGCATTGCTGTGATGAATATTCAATTTATTCACCTAAACAATTTTTATCTCTGTGACCATGTTATTTTATTTTATAACATTTATTAATTTTTTTTTCAAAATCATCATCAGTGCATTTTCATAGAAAACATTATACATATAACTTAAATAGCACTTATGAAAAAAATGTATAAAAATATTTTATATTTAAATAACATTATTAATTATATAAATTATATGAAGTATCCTCATAAAATTTAAATAATTTGATGTTAAATGTACCTTCAAATTTGAGTAACATTTTTAAATATTTATTTGAGAAATAAACTTCGTCAATGACTCATACAAAAAAAGGAAGAAATATAAGGAAATGAAGGAATGAATGACGAATATCTGAAATTCGTTCTTGGTATTCATTTTTTGGTCTGCGGTGACCCACATAATTCTAATAATACGTGTGATTACCAAACGATCGACAGGTCTGAATCATCCTTATTCAAAATCCACTATTTGAGTCATGCGTCTCTTTCGTCCGTAAAAAATGCAATTCCGCTGACGGAAGGAATTAACTACGTAAGCTTTATTTCCGTATGCGTACATTATTTACCTTGTTCATCGTTAAAAGAAAAATGACTCCAAATTGAAACATGGCATACCTTAACTCATTCTTCTCATTCCAAAAATTCTTATAGTTCATATATTATTTAGAGAGACTTTTTTATGTGTAAAATTATTGTTATTTACTTTGAGGCACAAGTTTTCAAATTTCTAAATTTTTATTTTGCAAGTTTTTAAATCTTTAGTTTCTCAAGCTTTCAAGTCCCTATGCTAGCAAATTTCCAAACCCCCAATTTCCAATTTTCCCAAATTCTGAAATTTACAATTTCCAAACCGTCAATTCCCAATTTCCCCAAATTTTAAAATTTCCAATTTCCAACCCTCCAATTCCCAATTTTCCCAAATTCTGAAATTTACAATTTCCAACCCTCCAATTCCCAGTTTCTCCAAATTCTGAAATTTACAATTTCCAACCCTCCAATTCCCAATTTCCCAAATTCTGAAATTTCCAATTTCCAACCCTCCAATTCCCAATTTTCCCAAATTCTGAAATTTACAACTTCCAACCCTCCAATTCCCAATTTCCTCAAATTCTGAAATTTACAATTTCCAATCCTCCAATTCCCAGTCTTCCCAAATTCTGAAATTTACAACTTCCAACTCTCTAATTCCCAATTTTCCCAAATTCTGAAATTTACAATTTCCAACCCTCCAATTCCCAATCTTCCCAAATTCAGAAATTTCCAATTTCCAACCCTCCAATTCCCAATTTTCCCAAATTCTGAAATTTACAATTTCCAACCCCCCAATTCCCAATTTCCCCAAATTTTGAAATTTACAATTTCCAACCCCCAATTCCCAATTTCCCCAAATTAAGAAATTTCCAAATTTCTAATCTGCGAATTCTCAAATCCCCGAATCCCTAAATCTCCGAATCTCCAAATCCCCAAATTTCCAACCCCCCAATTCCCAATTTCCCCAAATTTAGAAATTTCCAAATTCCTGACCCCCCAAATTTCTAATCCTCAAATCCTCCTAAATCTCCACCTCTAAATCCTCAAATTTCCAACTCCCAACCACCCAAATTTCCACCTCCCAAGCACCCCAACATCCACCCCCAAATTTCTCAAACCCCCAACTTCCACCTCCCAACTTCCACCTCCCAAATTAAACCAAAGTAAACCAACTAACCCAACAGAAATCTGTCACAACATTCAAAATTATGATTGAAGTATGTTTACCTCGACCCAAAGTATCAAGTACACCTACGATTTAGGACGACCACGCACTCCTTTTAAGTCCTCGTCCCAGAAAGTAAACGGCAAGTGGCTTCTACCGTTTCATCGCGTTGGTTGCCGCTTCGATAATGAAATATCGGCTTTCATTTGCCCACGACCACCGTGAAATGCAGTAATTTCTTCTTATTTTGCAAACGCTCGCGACTAATTGGAGGTTAGCTACAAATCTATGCGTTCGTGTTGAAATTACGATTTAAATTGAGTCGTGTTTGTTGAACGCGTGACACGAAATAATAGCGTCGTTGTGGTTAATTTGCTCTTGCAGCCTCGCTGCGTTTAGAGGCGTCGTTATATTAATTATGCGTTTAAGTAACAGGATAGGCAAGTCTGAGAGGCTATGGACAACTTTCGTCTCTTGGAATTTTATTTCACTCTCAAAGTTATAATTTTAAATGTTACAGTAATTATTTTAGGTACTGGTAGAAAGTTTTGAAATTATTTTGTGGTAGGTAGTGGACGCTTAAGAAATATTTTATATTCTTTAAAATTATTTTGTATTTAATAAATGGAAGTTTATACAAAATTATGTATTTTAAAATAATTTTATATTTATCAAATGAAAGTTCATACAAAATTATGTATTTTAAAATATTTTTGTATTTAACAAATGGAAGTTCATACAAAATTATGCATTTTAAAATAATTTTGTATTTAACAAATGGAAGTTCATACAAAATTATGTATTTTAAAATAATTTTATATTTAACCAATGAATAATCATGAAAATTATGTAGTTTAAAATATTTTTTTATATTTAATCAATAAATGGCTATGAAAATGTACTTTAGAATAATTTCCACAATTTTAAATCATTCTTCCAGAAAAGTTAATTTATATAAACTTTTTTATTAAACTTAAAACGAAGCAAATTTTATAAACAAGAAAAATATGCTTTCACACTTTAATTTGTAAAATACGTATATTTTTAAATAATTGAAGTGGGGATTTAATGAAGAAGTATTCATCACAAGAAATGTTCCTCAAATTGTATAACACTGTCACAATTACAGAGATTGAAGCAATCAAGTTTTTTCTTCGTTGTTTTTGCCTGCTGTCTATCAGCGAGCTGTAATTATGTAATTATTTGGGTTAACAATCCTTATCAGCATTATCTGACAGATAAATTAGACCAACTACGAGATTCATATAACGGAAGCGTTTCTTTCTTCCTCAGTTAAGCTTGGATTTTCATTAAGCTCTGGATCAGTGGAGATCGCTCGAACTTTCGATGAAAATAGAAAAGATTATCTTTTCGTTTCTCATTTTTTTTTTTTTTTTTTTTTT